TCCATTATCATCATCTCCATCATCTCCTCATTGTTCATCACATTTCAAAATTGTTGTAATAAACATAAAGATCTAACCTTCCATTAACCTTCATGACTATATAAGATTTCTTTAACATAAAATAAATAATTATTTGTTATTCTTGAAGTATTATAAAACAATCACAATAATATTATATAGATCAATTAAAATTATTATTTCACTGAACCATAATTCTTCATTCTTAATCTTCTGATCCGTCCTATTCATATGCTTTGGTCTTTATATTTAATAAATGATTTTGATGCATATAATCATAAATATAATTTATTAATAATAATTTTAATAATAATTATTTAAAAATAAATAAAAAAAAAATATGGAAAACCTATTGACCAAAGAATGGTAATTCTTCCATACCAAAACTCTGATCTTAATACCTAGTTGAAATATATTACTATGACTCTAAGTAAAGGTCAATAATGCAATGACAAATATTTCCAACGTTGAAACTAATAATCGTTTTCACTTACTTCACCTTCCACTATATTTTATATTATTTGTTTCTTCTATTTCTTCCCTTTATTTCAAGTATTTATTTGATCATCATTTTTATAATCCCCAATTGTATTTCGTTAAGTGGTGGGATTTTAATTAACATTTTATATTAGTTTAGACTTCGTTCCTTGAATCGATTTTAAATCTTATTTATTCTATTAGAATTTTTTCAATAGAAACGAAGAAGGTATGGATATTTTAATAAAGAGTGAGATTTAGAAACAAAAAAGAAATTGAAAGAGTGAGATTTAAAAAAAATAAAAAGATCGAATAACGATTAACGATTATAAATTTAAAAAATTAATTGGTGTAACATAAAAAAATTTAAATTTTTAAGAGAAAATGTATCATTTTTTTTTTTAAAAAAAAATGAAAATAGATACCTTCGCCGCTATATGCCTGCCCAATCGATTCCATATTTCTAAAGGAGAGAAGAGGTAAGTATAATCTTTTCTTTTTTTTTTAAAAAAAAAAAAATAAAAATAGTGCTGAAGCCAACCGATTCTGTATTTCCAAAGGTAAGTATCGTTTTTATTTTTAATTTTTTTTTTAAAAAAAAAAATAAATAGATACCTTCGCTTAAAAAGAGAGAAGAGGTAAGTATTGTTTTTCTTTTTAAAAAAAAAAAATAATAATAAAAATAGACACCTTTACCCACCCAACCGATTCTGTATTCCTAAAGGAGAGAAGAAGTAAGTGTCATTTTTTTTTTTTTAGAAAAAAAAATAAAATAAATACTTTCATCAATGGATACCATAATATTCTTGTTCCATAGTACGATAAACCTTTATTATTCCTTTTTACTTTTAAATTTATTGTTTAATAAAATTTTTAGTTCATATTACGCCACCGTATGCCCATCCAAATTCCTAAAAAGAGAAGAGGTAAGTATCGTTTTTCTTTTTTTTTTTTAAAAAAAAAAACTCCAAATCAACTTAGACTAAATAACAAAAGTTTGTTTTCGTGCTAACGAATTTGGCTGTGAGATAGGTGTGACAATTGGAAGTGAATTTTTATAACCTTGGCGATGAAAAAAATGGTAGATAAAATGGTGAATGAAATAACGTACCTTTTGAGACTTTTCTTTACTTCATAATGTGACAGCAACCTGATACAATGATCTTGGATAAGTTGTTCAAAATTAGAGGATGATAGTGGCAGTTATATAGGTTTTCGTTACTTCTGTTCTTTTTTCTAATCCTCAATGTTTGATTTCGAATTGTCCAAAAAATGTGGTGTACTCTTTCTCATCATCGCCATACATCTCTGCAATTTTAAGAGACGAACTTTATTTTGTGAAAAAAAAAGATATTACTATTATTTTACTGAGATAATAAACTAAACTATTTATGTAATGGGAAATTTTATACAAATGCGCAATAACGATAAATTATTTGATTAATAAAAAATTACGCAAATGCGCAGTAACGATCATTACTTGATCAATAAAAAATTAATACAGGCGACTTATCTTCCTTTCTATCTGACTTTTCAAAAATTTCGTGTTTATTACATCTTGTTTTGAAATTTCGTTCGGTTGTATTAATTTGAGGTAAAATTAATTATTGGGTAGATTTAAATAATAAAATTAAATAACAATAATAATGCTCTAAGTAACAAATTTGACATCTAGTAATTCTTCTTTAGAATAAATGCTTTGATATTTTATTTGTAAATAAAGGATGAAAATATTAAAATAATATTATAATAATATTATAAGAAAGTGTTATTAACATTAATAATAATTTGTTTCATCTTTTTTTTTTTGAATTTGTTCTTTTTTTTTCTTTTAAACCATTTTTATTTCTGCAGTTATTATTTTACCTACAGTTATTATTAACTAAGAATCTGAGTTATAGTTGATCAATTTTTAATTATAAATTGTTATTTCCTTCTTCTACACGTATGTATAATGTGATAAATACGTTTTCTAATAAGTATACTATTTTCTAAGCCTAAATTAGGCTAGCATTGAATATACATAGATAGCAAAAAATGAAACGTGACCCTACCATGATATTGAGAAATAGCTGCAGTGGGGAAGAGATTCCTCTCTCGTGAAACTTTTAAAATTCATATAATATTTTACCTTGACAACAAATTTTTTAATAATTTCGTAATAATCTTAATAATTCATAATTTCTCAAATAATCTTAGTAATATAAATAGTTTCGAATAGTTTTTAATAATAATAAATAATTTTCATAATAGTTTTAAATTTTAAATAGTAATAAATAATTTCGTGTATCGGAATAGCAATAGAGATAAGATACGCCAACGCAGTAATATATCTCTATTGATCTATTCTTTTAATAAATTTTAATAAATTTTAATAAATATTTTAATAAACTTTTCTATATTTCTCGGCAAGTTACTCCAAAAGTCTGTTAAATTTTGGCAGTGTACGAAGCATATAGTAAAGATACTTTTACTCCACTTGCTCACTGTACCTTCAGATATTACACGTAATTGCATTGTTTGTGAGTGTTAGTAAGCAGGTTTAGATCGACTGATTGCCTGTCTCGCTGTGTTTTAAGATATTGCGCACAAGAGAAAGTGTGTTAGTAATACATTGAATTATCATGTGATGGACCTAAATTTATTGAGACTGATTGGCTTAATTTTTCACATTGTTCTGCGCAGACCGCAACAATATGACAATTTATTGACAGATACAAGAAGACAGGAAATATTGAAATTTTATCATGATCAGGATGACCACCTGCTCTCAATAATGATGAAAAAAAATAAACTTGTAAATGAAATTATAAAGAACTGACATGCACCTTTGCATGAAATTATTAATACATTGAGTTTAAACTGTAGTTTAGCAACTGCTAAACAGAAACTATATGATGCTAGAATTTACTTCCATGTTGTTGCAAAAAAGCCTTATATGTCAGAAAGACATGCATCTGCTCGTATTAATTGGTGTGAAAAACATAAAAATAAAACAGCTTGCGATTGGATGCAAGTTGAATCAAGTATTGAGATTGGAAAGCAGTTACAGCAATAAGAGTTTGGAGAGATTTAGGGGAAAGGTTTAATACTGAATGCTTGGCACCTACTTTTAAAGTGATCAAAAATCAGTTATGGTTTGGGGTGTTTTTCAGGAGGAATAAAAGTCCATTGATTTTTTGTGATGAAAACAAAGAAGAAAATGAAAGAATCAATTCAAATACTTATATCACAATCCTAAATTCATATTTAATTCCATTTCTGTATAAAGTTTATAAAAAAACAGGGAGGAGGGCTGCAATTTCCAACAGGATAATGCACCAATACTTATTTCGAAAATAATCAAGGAATGGTTAAAGACAAATAAAATTGAGATTATTGATTGGCCAGCAAATTCTCCAGATTTGAATCCAATAGAGAACATTTGGAAGTAATCAAAAGATAATATCCAGAGCTGTGAGATCTTTTCAAGAAATATAAATGAACTTAAAAGTGCACTAAAGAAAGAATAGGAAAATTTGGATTGTTCCATTTTTGAAGAGGTTGTTGTCTCAATGTCACAAAGAATTAATGCTGTATTGGAAGCAAAAGGAGGGCCAACAAAATACTAACTATTATAGGAATATTTTTTATGTATAATCTTATAAAAATAAATAAAATTTTGTTTCAATTTTAAATTGGGTGTCACTTTCCGATCTGACATGACTGTACCATTAAATTTTTTTTATCATCACATTGATCGATCAATATATCATAAACACACTCATGTCATGTTAATAATGGTATGACGAATATCTTGAAAAAAAAATTCATTGAATATTTTTTTTAAAAAAAAAAATAAATAATAAATATGTTAAATTTATACAAATGAAAGTGAATATATTACAATAATTATTTCTTTTCAAAACTTGAAAATTTAAATTCAATTGTAAATAATAAATAATTTGTTTTTCATATGCCATCTCCTGAGTTTCAGATTGCCACATATTTTATATCAAATGTTAAAAGAAATATATTAATTGATAATCCACCAGTCAAATAGAGAAATTTTTAATTTTTTGTAAATGTAGAGAGCTTTCATATTTATTTATTAATTTAATTTAATATTATTAAGTATGAAATTATGTAAAAAATTATTGAAGAACTTTAATTATATGAAAAAATATGCTTTATTGCGGCACAATTGCGAAATTTAAATTTAAAGTAACAAATCAAAGAAAATTTATATTTTTTTGTTACATTGTTTATTCAAATCAAATTTTCAAAGCAATTCTTTTATTGAGTAAAATATAAATATTTTTTATATACTGATCATTGTAAAATTTTATGGACACAATATTTTACAATATTTATAAAATTTATGGAAATAATTTGCGCGTATTTTTTTTTTTTTTTATTTAAAAATTTCATGAAAAATCGTTTAAATTTAAAAAAAAGGTTATATATATAGAATAAATAATATGTAAAGCTTATTTTCTCCCAAATCAATACATTCCTTTTGAATCCTAACAACATATAGCTGGTTCTCTGCAACATCTCATGCCTTCAGGACAATCCGTCACTTCAACAAGATTCACCGGGTTTGCAACACCTTCCAGGACCCATACATATGTCACCTGGTGCACAACACAATGTTCCGCAACATGTTTTCTCTCTTTCACAACATGTGTCGTTTCCGCAACATTTTTTGCCGTATGGACAACAAGTGCCGTCGTCGCAACAATCACCGCCTGTTTCACAACAATTTTTACTTTTGCAACAAAATTGATTGGATGATGGACAACAGATACTGTCGCCGTCGCCACAACAAACGTTAAAGCTCGGACAACACCTGGTATAGCCGGTGTTGATGCAACATACTCCGGCATTTGGACAACAATGCTTTTTGTCAAAACAAATGGTGCCCCCCGGTGGACATTTTTTAGCTTTATCTAGACCAAGACCAGAAGAATTAGAAGAAATATAGCTTTTTGAGAAGTCACTTTGAGGATTTTCTCGTAATGACGATTTAGAGGAATAACTTCTTAGAACATGAGAGTTCACTAGCAGGTGTAAATTTATAAAGATGGTAATGAGGAGAATAAGTGAAAATAGATTTTTCATTATGATTAATTCGTGGGTATTAATTAATATGAAAAGAAACAGTGTTCGTTTGTTTCAAGTTTAACAATTCAAAAAACTTGGTGTTTATATAATTTTACGCGCGGGTAATTCATAAAATAAAACAAGAAATAAAATGGAAAATTTTTTCGTTTAATAAAATGAAACTTTTAAATTTCATACTGCATACAGCGATGATTTTATTTGAAGATCTACAATGGCCGCCAAAGCAGAATCAAATAAATGAACTAAATTTACTAGTATAATCAGGCAACAAATAGTTTCTTTATAAACGTAAAGGTAGGATTAGCGACGTGAGTAAGATAAATATATTTTATTTAAAATATAATTTTCACTGAAAATGAATGTTATATAACGGATATCGAAATAACTTAATTGCTGATCCGCCACTCAATGGTACAAATGATCAAAATGCCGATTTCTTACATTTTTATAATTCTAAATATTATCAATTAGTCCAAATTTTAGCATACTCTTTGTAAATCAGATACATTTATTAAAAAGAAAAAACATGTAATTTTTATTGTCCCGCATATCCATTTCGATTGTTAGTCGCTGGTAACGAGCATAGTATTACTTTAGACTCTTTATCTGCATTTATTTGAGCATCTTGAATAAGCTTATCTATTGTGTTATTTCCGCTTGTCCATTTGTTAAAATGATTTTGGATATGTTTCGAGCAAACATGGTTTACATTTTTGATTGCATTCTGGGTATATTTTATCGGATAACATTTTTTAGTTCGTAAGGTATAACTATTTTATACAAAATACATAAATAAATTTTTTGTTTGAATTCAATCCACGCTTAGATGAAATTTAGGTATGCAAAAATACTATTTAAAACTAATATAGAAATTTTAAATCCTTTTGTTCAAAAAAGTTATAAACAGTATTTATTACAAAAAAACTGTTATGTTGATCATTACCCTATTGTAAGTTAATACTAATACGGAAAGATAAAATATTCTGTTTATCAATATTCTTTTAATTTTACTCTTTGAGTTATTCAATTGGGTTTAACGAATCATAGAAACTTTTAAAAATAGTTAATATATAGAAATTACTTCTTTTAGTTCTTTCTCCCACTTTTACATTTTTTACATTGTTGTATAGATACATAAAATTTTTAGCAATTATACATAAATAGTATGGTGCCGTTTTTAAAGATAATCATTTTTAAAATCAGAATTTGTAACAGACAGAAATTATTTTTTCTGACTGCACAAGAGTTTCCACCTCCACATAATAAATATGACATAATTATTTGTGTAAAGAACATCATTAGCGTTCATATTGGCAGTTATATAAATATACATGTGCCTACTTTACACATGACTATATTCATATAAGCATCTATAATAATGAGTTTTCAAAAATCTTCCACCTCTTCTTTCCTTAAAACACGATGTACTTTTTTCGTCTATTTGATAATTACTAGTCTAAGGCCTTTTCTTCTATCACTTTTTAGTTTTTTGATTGCTTTCACATTGTATATAGTTTATAACGTATTTAACGACATTATTCTATCTTAGAAAATCGTGATCCTTGCATAAGTGTTTGGGGATCGAGATATCTTATCTAAATTATAACCTGTTTTGGACGCAGATTGGCAACTAGTAATTTAGAGTCCATCAAATTTTTCTATTCTTCATGTATAACTAGAATGGCGAGTAACAGATTAATAACTACCACCACTATTTTTAATATACAAATACTATGTGATTCTTTTCATT